GAGACCAGCCTAGGCAACATGGTGAAACCTGTCTCTACAAAACATACAAAAATTAGCTGGGCATGGTGGCACGTGCCTGTAGTCTCAGCTACTCGAGGGGCTGAGGTGGGAGGATCACCTGAGCCTGGGAGGTCAAGGCTGCAGTGAGCCGTGATCACCCCTCAGGACTGGAAGTCCTCCTGGTCTGCGTTCAAACCCTGCATTTCTGAACATTACTGTGTGCCAAGCCCTGGCAAATCATATTTCTTTTAATTTGATAACACTGTGAGGTTGGTACAATTATTATTATAATTATATATACAATTATTATTATCACCATTTTACAGGTGAGCAAATGGAAGCTCTAAGACATTAAGTATCTTGCTTAAGAGCAAGAGCGGTGGGCGAGCCCAGGTGTTGATAATTTGCCAACATTTGATGTGATGCTTCATGGTTTTATTCCTCCCCATTTGCAGACAGGAAAACCAAGTTACAGACAAATGAAAGTGACTTACCTCAGGGTCTTTGCATCTGGCATCCTCTCTGCCTGGAATGCTCTTCTCAGTTATCCCCTTGGCATCCCCCATCACCTTCTTAAGGTCTTCACTTAAAAGTCATCATCTGGCCAGGCGCTGTGGCTCACGCCTGTAATCCCAGTACTTTGGGAGGCTGAGGCGGGCAGATCACAAGGTCAGGAGGTCAAGACCATCCTGGCTAACACGGTCTCTACTAAAAATACAAAAAATTAGCCAGGCATGGTGGTGGGCGCCTGTAGTCCCAGCTACTCGGGAGGCTGAGGCAGGAGAATGGTGTGAACCCGGGAGGCAGAGCTTGCAGTGAGCCGAGATTGCGCCACTGCACTCCAGCCTGGGCGACAGAGCGAGACTCCATCTCAAAAGAAAAAAAAAAAAAAGTCATCATCTTAGGGAGGTCTTTTCTGGTCACCCTACTTAAAAATTCAGGCTGGGCATCATGGCTCACACCTGTAATCCCAGAGCTGTGGGAGGGTGAGGCAGGAGGACACTTGAGCCCAGGAGTTTAAGAACAGCCTAGGCAACATAGTGAAACCCAGTCTCTGTAGAAAATACAAAAATTAGCCTGGTGTGGAAGCGCGCGCCTGTGGTCCCAGCTACACAAGAGGCTGAGGTGGGAGGATCGCTTGAGCCAAGGAGGTTGAGGCTGCAGTGAGCTGTGATTGCACCACTGCACTCCAGCCTGGGTGACAGAGCGAGACCTTGTCACAAAAAATAAAAATAAAGACCAGGCACAGTGGCTCACGCCTGTAATCCCAGCACTTTGGGAGGCCAACAGGGGAGGATCACGAGGTCAGGAGTTCAAGACCAGCCTAGCCAATAGGGTGAAACCCCGTCTCTACTTAAAAATACAAAAATTAGGCGGGTCTGGTGGCGGGTGCCTGTAGTCCCAGCTAGTTGGGAGGCTGAGGCAGGAGAATCACTTGAATCTGGGAGGTGGAGGTTGCAGTGAGCCGAGATTGCACCACTGTACTCCAGTCTGGGTGACAGAGTGAGACTGTCTCAAAAAATAAAAAATAAAAAAAATAAAAATAAAAATAAGTTAACCCCATGCTTTTAACTCAGTAACAAAAGGACAAATGACCTGAGTCAAAAGTGAGCAAAGGATGATCTAAGAATATATACACACATGGGCAGTGGGCACATGAAAATATGCTCACCACGTAATGATGTGCATTAGGGAAACAGATCAAAACCACAGGACACACGCTTCCTATCGCTAGGATGACTGTTATTTTAAAAATGGAAAATAACAAATATTGGTGAGGAGATGAAGAAATTGGAACATTTGCATATTACTGATAGGAGTGTAAAATGGTGCTGCTGCTGTGGAAAACTGGCCATTCCTAAAAAAGTTAAACACAGAATTACCATATACCCAGCAGTTCCACTTTTAGGTTTTTACCCCCAAAGAATTGAAAACAGGGACTCAAACAGGTACCACTTTTATTTTTATTTTTAGTAGAGATGGGGTTTCACCATGTTGACCAGGCTGGTCTCGAACTCCTGACCTCAAGTGATCCGCCCGTCCCAGCCTCCCAAAGTGCTAGGACTGCTGGGGTGAGCCACCGTGCCCGGCCTCAAACAGATACTTGTAACCTGAATGTTCACAGCAGCACTGTTTACAATAGCCAAAGATGGCAACAACCCAGATGTCTCTAAACAGACGAATGGATTAACAAAATGTGGTCTGTCCATGCAATTCCATTTTACTCAGCCATACAAAAGAATGAAAGGCACATGCCACCACATGAATGAACCTTGAAAACAAGGTGAGCTTCTTGTGAATGGAGCTAGTCACAAAAGGCCACATAGTGTATGATGCCATTTATGTGAAATACCCAAAGACAGACAAATCCATACAGAGAAAGAAAAGCAGTGGTTACCAGGGGCCGGAGGAAGAGGGAATGGAGAGGGACTGCTTAATGGGTATGGGGTTTCCTTTTGGGGTGATGAGAATGTTCTGGAACTAGACAGATAGTGGTTACATAACATTGTGAATGAACTAAATGCCGCTCAATTGTTCACTTAAAAAAAGTAGAGATGGGGTCTTGTCATGTTGCCCAGGTTGGTCTCCAACTCCTGGGATCAAGTGATCCTCCTGCCTCAGCCTCCCAAAGTATTGGGATTACAGGCCTGAGCCACCACGCCGGCCAATTGTTCACTTTTAAATGATTAATTTCATGGTATGTGAATTTCACCTCAATGGAAAAACTCAACCCCAAACATCCTTATCTTCCCTCCCTACCTGATTTTTCTCCTAGTGCACAGGACCCCTCAAATACAGTATGTCTGACCTATGTGTCCATTGTTCATCCTGCTTCTTTAAAATGTAAATTCCAACAGGGTAGGGATTTCATCTGTTTTGTTAACTCATATATGGCTGAAGAGTCTCTGGTACTCAATAAATATTTGTTAAATAAATGAATTAGACAGGGTGTGGTGATGAAGAGAGTCCCACCGGCATCCCTGCCCCCATCTCTAATTCTAACATTCTAACGGGCTCTTGACCTTGGAGCCAGTTAACGATGATCCTGTCTGGGCTCATTTTCCCCTCCTTTTCCTGAAGAGCAGAATCCACAGGTCCTCGCTCAGCTCAGCCCCTTTCAACCCTCCTCTGCTGAGAGTTTGAGATAAAGGGGGCCACGAGAGAAGACAATGAATCCATCACAATGTGTGATGAGCTGTCTGCTCTGTGGCCTCCCACAGCAATTTATCATGACCTGGAACCACAGCTGTGAGGCCGGGTGTTACCCTACCAGGACCTCACTCCCCAGCTGCTTCAGAGGGGGACTTTTGCAGGAACCTGTCCATACCTATTTACTGAACAGTTGCTCGGATGCAGCCCTGTCCCAGGCACTCAGCCAAATGACAAATGAACTAGATAATCATTCATTCATTCGATGATTCATTCATTCTGTGATTGATTGATTCATTCATTCATGTGGTTGTCAAACATTCATTGAGCACCTACTATGTGCCAGACACTGCACCTTGCACTGTGACCCTTAATATCAGAGATGTCAATGCATTACAGACCAGGATTCCTCAGCCTAGGCACTGTGGATACTTTTGTTTTTGTTTTTGTTGTTATTGTTTTTGAGACAGGGTTTCACTCTATGGCCCAGGCTGGAGTGCAGCGGTACAATCACAGCTCGCTGTAGCCTCAATCTACTGGGCTGAAGCAATCCTCCCGCCTCAGCCTCTCAAGTAGCTGCTACTACAGGCACACGCCACCATGCCTGGCTTATTTTTTTGTAGAGACAGGGTCTCCCTATATTGCTTAAGCTGGTCTTGAACTCCTGAACCCAAGCTATCCTCCTGCCTCGGCCTCCTAAAGTGCTGGGATTACAGGTGTGAGCCACTCTGCCTGGCTACTGTGCACATTGGAACCAGACATTTCTTTGTCATGGGGGTTGTCCTGTTTATTAGCAGCATCCCTGGCTGCAGATGCTAGTAGCACTCCCTCAGTCATGACAACTCAGATGTGTCCAGACATTGCCAAACGTCCTTGGGGCACACAGTCACCCCTAGTTGAGAACCACTGGTCTAGACAAGTATATTTTCCACAAATTATCAGAGAAAAAAATGCATTTATTTTTGCTGTTTCCCCCTTCTCTTCCTCTCTCTCTCTCCCGCTACTTACCTACCTACCTGGCTAGTTAAATTGGAAAGCAAAAGCATAATTACAGCTAACATTTGTAAACAGCACATAGTAAGGGATCATTTTATCTTGGTTAGTCTCACAACAACTATATGGGCAAAATACCACTGATGTTCATTTTACAGATGAAGAAATCAAGGTTCAGAGATGTTAAGCAAGTTGTCCAGGGTCACACCAAGATGAAGGGGCAGAGCTGGGGTTCAAATCCAGGTCCGTATGACTCCAGAGCCCGGGTGCTGCACCACTGTGCCACACACTCCCTGGCACAGAGCCTCACACATTGTAGTGATCAATAAACATTTATTACCTCAGTGAATGAACACAACAATGGGGCAAGGGAAGGCAAGGATTCTGAGGAAGGCCTGGAGAAGCATAGGCTGCAATTTGAGGGTTTGATATTCTGGAGGAACGTGTATTATCTTAATTATTTCCATCCATCAGTCCATCCATCCATCGATCCATCCACTCATTCACCAAGCATTCCCCAAACACCTGAGTTGTGCCTGGCACCTAGGAGGAATTCTGGTTTCAATATCTCATAGCCGGCTGGGGGAGACGGTTCATGCCTGTAATCCCAGCACTTTGGGAGGCTGAGGAGGGTAGATCACTTGAGGTCAGGAGTTTGAGACCAGCCTGGCTAACATGGTGAAACCCTGTTTCTACTAAAAATATTAAAATTAGCCAGGCATGGTGGCACGCACCTGTAGTCCCAGCTATTCAGGAGGCTGAGGCAGAAGAATCACTTGCACCCAGTAGGTGGAGGTTGCAGTGAGCTGAGATCGCACCACTGCACTCCAACCTGGGCGACAGAGATAGATCCCATCAAAAAAAAAAAAAAAAAATTCTCGGAGCCAAGGAGGATGCATTAAATGTGCTCAGGAATATTGCAACATCAGATACAAAATGAGAAGCCACATTATGAAGGGACATAGAGATGCTAGATTATCCTAGACTCTTGGTCAAAAGTGTTAGGTGTGCCTGCTCCAATTGGCTTAAGCAATAAAGGGAGGTTATTGGTTCCTAAATCTAGTTGAGGTTTCAGGTATGGCTTGATCAGGGTGTCCAAATGATGTTATCAGAAATCCCTCCATCATTTCCCTCTGGTTTTTTCTGAGTCAACTTAATTCCCTGCTGGCATGATGGCCACCAAGAACTTTAGGCTTATATCCTGCCAGCTTAGCAACTCCAACTCAAAGAGCAACACTTTTTCAATGATTTTAGCCAAAATTCCAGAACTTGTCTTAGACCAACCTGAATCATGTGCCTGCTCTTGAACAAAGCACAGTAGCCAGGGGAAAATCGTGCTTTGATTATCTAGGACTGAGTCCTGGACCCACCCCTGCGACTTGTGGAAGGGGACAGCTCGACCTGAGCCATATCAACTGAGAACATAGGAAGCATGGTCCTACCAAGAGATGTCTATTCCAGGTATGATGGAGCCTCAGAAGAGAGCATGACTCTCGTTCAGCTGGTGAATCAGGGAATGGTCCAATAAGCCACAGCTACGGAGATGAAGGTCTGTTGATTTCAGATGCAGCTAGAGGGGGAAGTTGGGCATGACAGAAAAATCTATCAATCTCTGCTATAGTTAAATATTTGAATATTGGATTGTTTGCAGATCTTGTGAAATCAGTGACCTCTGGGTCATGTAGGAACCCAGCATATGCCCACAGGACACAGCTGATCAGAGCAATAGTTCATACCTGAGACCCTGGACTTTCAGACCCTCCTCCAGCCCCCACCAGCCTCTGTCAGTGCTGAGCTGGACAGAACAAACCACATGAGGTTGGTCGGGCCTCTACCCCATGGAAAAACACAGAATGGTCATTTTTTGCCTGTACATTCCTGGACAAATAAATTCTCTTTTGGGAGTCTTTTCCTGGCTGGGCTATGTTATATGCCTCAGAGCTGCCCAGATCCGCTAGGAACCCAAATATTTCATTGCATGTGTAGGACAGGCTACTCATTCAGCCCAGGTCAGAGGACTGTTTCATGGGTGTTGGTGGCAGGAATTTTTGGTTGTCTTCAATATCTGGATCCCTGATTTTCGGTGGGGAACATGGTCAGCAGAATAAGGACTGCATTTCCCACCTTCTACTGCAGGTACGTGTGACTGCATGACTACGCTCTGGCCAGTGACCTGCAAGTGGCAGTGAAAGATCACATCCTTCAAGGGAGGACCACGCCCCACCTTTCTCCTTCCCTCCTTCTTCCAGGCTTTTTATTTTTTATTTTTATTTATTTATTTATTTTATTATTTGTTTTGTTTTGTTTTGTTTTTGAGACGGAGTCTCACACTTTCGCCCAGGCTGGAGTGCAGTGGTGCAATCTCGGCTCACTGCAAGCCCCGCCTCCCGGGCTTACGCCATTCTCCTGCCTCAGCCTCCCAAGTAGCTGGGACTACAGGCGCCCGCCATCACGCCTGGCTAATTTTTTTTTTTTTTTGTATTTTTAGTAGAGACGGGGTTTCACTGTGTTAGCCAGGATGGTCTTGATCTCCTGACCTTGTGATCCGTCCGCCTCGGCCTCCCAAAGTGTTGGGATTACAGGCGTAAGCCACAGCACCCAGCCTATTTATTTATTTTTTTAAATGGAGTCTTGCTCTGTCACCCAGGCCGGAGTGTAGTAGTGCAATCTCGGCTCACTGCAGCCTCTGCCTCCCAGGTTCAAGCGATTCTCCTGCTTCAGCTTCCCAAGTAGCTGGGATTACAGGCACGCACCACCATGCCCGGCTAATTTTTTGTATTTTTAGTAAAGACAGGGTTTCACCATGTAGGCCAGGTGGGCCTCGAACTCCTGACCTCACGTGATCCACCTGCCTCAGCCTCCCAAAGTTCTTCCAGCGTTTTTAGAATTCAGTTCTGGTGGGAACCATTTTGGATCATGTTCATGGGAGTAACACCATAGAGATGGCAGAGCTGGGGTTGGGTCTGGTGGCTCACGCTTATAATCCTGCCACTCTGGGAGGCCGAGATGGAAGGATTGCTTGAGCCCAGGAGTTTGAGACCAGCCTGGGCAACATAGTGAAACCTCATCTTTACAAATAAACTCTTGGCTCAGGTGATCTTCCCGTCTCAGCCTCCCAAGATCTCTGTGCTTCTCGCTGCCCATGGCACAGCTCTTACCAAAACTCCCTCTTTTCACTGGCCTTTTTATTCAGTCAAACCAAATTTCCCTTGGCGCTCTCTCCTGCTCTCTCTCTTGCTCGCTTTTTTTCATACCCACCCCCATTTCTCTTACGCCTGGAACAGTCTCCCACTTAGCATCTGCCTGCCCAGTTCTTTGTCTTCCTTTACAACCCCACCTACCACTTAGTTTCTCTAAGTGGCTAATTAACTGAAAGTTGAATAATTATACCTCTTTCCCCAAAACACATCTCTGAAATCCCACATGCCCCTGAGGTTGTGATCCATGAAGAAAGGTCTCTGACTACCTAATTTTCTTTAAGGGAATTCAATGAGATGACTAATTACAAGCACCATGCCTGGTACGTAATAATGTTCAGTGAACTGCAGCTATTAATAATGATATGTTAATAATAATAAAATAATAATAGGATATAAGCTCTTAGAAGACAAGGACAGTAGCTCTTCTATGCCAAGGTTCAATAATCCAATATTCAACATTTTTTTTTTTTTTTGAGATGGAGTCTCGCTCTGTTGCCCAGCCTGGAGTGCAGTGGCACAATCTCGGCTCATTGTAACCTCAGCCTCCTGGGTTCAAGCAATTCTCTGCCTCAGCCTCCCAAGTAGCTGGGATTAAAGGCACCTGCCACCAGGCCCGGCTATCACCATCCCCTCTCCTCTTCCTGCAGGTTACCCACCTGCAGGAAGGAGCCAAGGTAGGCAACTCAGAGCCAACCTAGGGCCGAGGTGCCCTCCCTACGCCTTCTTCCCGGGGCTGCCAACGATCCTGAGCTCATCCTCCTGACCTGCAGACCCCTTGGCTCTGGCCCTCACATCCTGCTTGCTGTACCTGCTTTATCCCATGTCACCATCTCCATTCTCCAGCCTTGTGACAATCCTGGTTCCTACCCATTCCATTGGCTTCTCCATTTGGCTTGGAGCTCTGTAGCTGGATTGAGACGACTACTCTGATGAGTGCCATGTCACTGGCTCAACAGAATGGGCCCAAGTGAGTCAATGTCATTGACATGAAGGTGCTGTCAGTTTGGTGGGGACCAAAGAATGAGACTGTGTTTTAGTTGTGTTCGTTTGAACAATTACACACTTAGGGCTTCTTATGCGGATGCTCAGGGAGAAATATGGAAGACAAGATCTCGTAGAAAACAAGAAGACACATTGTAAATGAATCAGGCCTCCTGGAGTCCAGGACTAGGGAGGAACTCTCTATTGTGGATCACTCGAGGGAGTCTTGGGGCTGGTGGTCTTCAGGCCAAAGCCCCATAACTCAGCTCCTCTCTTCCTTACCTCAGTCTCTCTGCTTCTGTTTTTTGTCTCATGTCCTAAATGTCCAACTATTCAGCATAACTGTATTCTGCTTCCCCTCTCTATCCTCTGTAGCAAAACACACTGTTGGAATTACATTTTTATTTTTATGTTTATTTTTTTAAGACAGAGTGTCACTCATTCCCTAGGCTGGAGTGCAGTGGTGTGATCTCGGCTCACTGCAACCTCCACCTCCCAGATTCAAGTGATCCCCCTGCCTCAGCCTTCTGAGTAGCTGGGACTACAGGTGCCTACCACCCTGCCCAGTTATTTTTTGTATTTTTAGTAGAGACGGGATTTCACCATGTTGGCTAGGCTGGTCTCGAACCCCTGACCTCAGATGATCTGCCTGCCTTGGCCTCCCTAAATGTTGGGATTACAGGCATGAGCCACTGCGCCCAGCTGGAATTAAATTAATAATTTTTATTTCTGCTTTAGCAAGAGAGGCGGTGACTCGCTGATACAAGGAAGATATCTCCCCTTCCAAGGGTGATGTATTTAGCTTTTGGGTTAAAAAGGAGATGCTGTCAGGCACGTGTGGCTATCCTGGGAGATTACATAAAAACACAGGGGAAGTGCTCTTTGTGTTAGAAGAAAAAAGAAAAAACAAAACTTGTTTCCTCAAAAACTTAAACACAGAATTACCACACGACCCAGCAATTCTACTACAGGCTATATCCCCACAAAGAATTGAAAGCAGGAACATGAACAGGAGTCTGTAGAACCATGTTTATATCAGCATTATCCACAGTAGCCAAAAAAGTGGAAAGAAACTAAATGTTCATCAACAGATTAATAGATAAACAAAATGTAGAATATCTGTACAGCAGAATATTATTCAGCCTTTAAAAGAAATGAAATTCTGGGCCAGGCACAGTGGCTCACGCCCACAATCCCAGCACTTTGGGAGGCTGAGGCAGACAAATTTCTTGAGCCCTGCAACATGATGAAACCCCATCTCTCCCAAAAATACAAAAATTAGCCCAGTGTGGGGGTGCATGCCTATAGTCCCAGCTACTGCAAGGCTGAGGCAGGAGGATCGCTTGAGCCCTGGAGGTCTAGGCTGCAGTGACCTACGATGATGCCACTGCATTCTAACCTGGATGACAAAGTAAGATCTTGTCTCAAAAAAGAAAGAGAGAGAGAGGGGGGAAGGAGGAAGGAAGGAAGGAAGGAAGGAAGGAAGGAAGGAAGGAAGGAAGGAAGGAAGGAAGGAAGGAAGGAAGGAGGGAAGGAAGGAAGGAAGGAAGGAGCTAGTTCGAGGCAGTCAACCCCCCCATTATTTGAATGAGAGCATCTCTTCTGTGTTAGTTGGACTAAAGGAGAAGCTGCCAGAACTCTCAAGGGGAAGGAGAAAATGGAAGGGAACTGAAGCTTTGGGTCTATAAGGTAGTAGACACCTGAGCCACATTCCAGTACCTTATTCCAGGACCTGTCGATGACCAGGAAGATGCCAGGGAACGGACACCACAGGAAAGATGCCAGGGTGGGTGGCCCATTGTGTGCTGCATCTGCGACTGATCCCAGCGCCCAGGCAGGTTGCCTCCAGCAGGAGGATGTTTACCTGGCTCCGTACTGCAGGGATGCTGTGGTCAGTCTTCTGATCATCACAGAATTCTTTGGCTGTGAGTAAATGAAAGCCCAGTTAAAATGGCTTAAATAATATTTCAGAGAGAAAGAGAGAAAAAGAGCAAGAGAGAGTCCCAAGGTAGGGTGGCTCCTGGGTTAGTTAACTCAGCAGTTCACACCAAGTTCTTTCCATCATTCTGCTCTGCCATGTAGAGCATGTCATTTCAGAAAGGCCATCTCTTCTTGTGTCTGTTTCTTAGGAATTACTCCTTCCTTCTTTCCTTCCCTCCTTCCTTCCTTCCTGGCTTCTTTCCTACTTTCCTTTGTTTCCTCTGTCCTCCCTCCTGCCCTCCCTCCTTCCTTCCTTGATGGGATCTCAGTCTGTCACCCAGGCTGGAGTGCAGTGATGTGCAACCTTGACTCTTGGGCTCAAGTGACCCTCCCACCTCAGCCTCCCAAGCAGCTGGGACTGTAAGTGTGCACCACCCATGCCTGGCTAATTTTTAACATTTTTGTAGATGGGTTTCACCATGTTGCCCAGGCTGATCTTGAACTCCTGATCTCAAGCAATCCTCCCATCTCAGCCTCCCAAAGTGCTGAGATTACAGGTGTGAGCCACTGTGCCCAGCCCGTACATCTTTCTTTAGAAGCCCCCTAACAAGTTTCCTCTCATGTTTCATAGCCATATACTCATTTTCATATCCATGCCTACACCAGTCACCCACAAGCAGAATAAGACTAACATGAATACTCCTGAATTGGGGATGAAGTTGTCTTTCTCAAGGGTTTCAAACCTGAACAAAATTGGGGATTCTGTTAATAAGGAAAATAGAATGGATTATTTATTTATTTATTTATTGAGACAGGGTCTCAGCACTCCAGGCTGGAGTGCAGTGGCGTGATCATGGCTCACCTCGACCTCCTGGGCTCAAATGATCCCCGCAACCACCACCCAGCTTCCAGAGTAGCTGGGACCTAGGCTCATGCCCACCACACCTGGTTATTTTTTCTATTTTTGGTAGAGAAAAGGGGTCTCGCTATGTTGCCCAGGCTGGTCTCAAACTCCTGGGTTCAAGGGATCCTCCTGCCTCAGCCTCCCAAAGTGCTAGGATTACAGGCATGAGCCACCGTGCCGTACCTATAATGGATTTTGAATGGGCAATTAGGAATGTCTGCTACACCCCTGATACTGACAAGCTCTAAAGATTAATGGACATGTGGGAAGGATTTCAAGCATGTTTCAAGCATGCTTCTATTACCAATTAGCAGGTAGGGATATGACCCAAACTCTGGGTCAAAGGTGGCTCACCTACAGACACTCATTCCAGCCTGTGAGATGGAAAAAAGGAAGAGTGAAGTGTGCTCTTTATCTGTAAGGTCCTGACCTCTGCATACAAAGTTCCCTCTACTTCCTGCCCTCGGTAAGACCTGGCTCTCCTCCCTGACAGTTCTTGAAGCCCTTCCCAGAGGATGGTGGTCCGTCTCCCACCTCCATGGTGTCCTCTATGCTCCGCACCTCTATTTCCAGATCCGTCGTCCTCTATCTTGAGTAAGTGCTGAGGCTCCTGACATCTGCCTGTACCACCTTCTGCGCCTTCTCATTGATGATGCCTACTCATCAATCAATCAATCAACCTTTACTCATGCCTACTCATAAATCAATCAGTCAACTCTTACTCTCAGAGAGCTTTGGCAACTGGCTTATCCTTCTCGCCCCAGTTCCTACTGCCATATTGGTGACTTTAATGAGTCAGGACCTGGCCGAACTCCTGGCCCCTCAACTCCTGTCCCTTCTTATTCCAATGACCTTCACCTCCACTCTACTTTAGCCACCATCTCCCTGGACATGTACTGGCCCTCATTTTTTCCTGGAATGAATCTTCCTCTAACGTCTCGCATTTCTCTGATCACAGACTTGTACCTTCTGCTCTTTTGATCATTCCAGCTTAGCAGTTCTTTGAACTCTAGAATCCCTTGGCCCTTCCACTTTCTCCCTCTCAGGACCCTCCTTCCTCCAATTCCTTTCCCATCCACCCTAGATTCATTGATCTTTGCTATACCCAGGCATGGACGTTGTGAACAACTCCCCGACATCCATTCCAACCCAGACGGTTGGTCCACGCCGGTCATGGTCATTCCCTGTCTCTTATCAGGAGCGGAACAGTCATGTGACTCACTTCTAGTACTAGAGGGTAGAGTGAGGTGGGGTAAAGAGGACTCTGGGAAAGATTTTCCCATGAAAGAGACAAAAGAATTGATGATCTTTCCTTCTGAGGATGAACCCAACAACAAGGGTGGCAGTGCAGAGAGACAGAAAGAACCCAGATCCTTGATGATGTTGTCAAGCCACTAAATCAACCCCATCTGAAGTATCTTCCCCCAGGATATCCTAACACATGAAATAATAATTTATTTCATATTCAGGCCAGCTTGAGTCAGGCATTCTGCTACTCTCAGACAAAAGCACCCTAAATAACATAATTTGCAACTTGCAGCAAAAGCCCAGTCCTGGATCAATGTAAATTTCTTTCCATTCTGTCTTTATACCTGTTCTGCTTAGACTGGTGGAGAAAACAATAGTTCCTCAGTCCTCCAGAAACCTCAGACGTCTCTCTACCCATCCACCATTAGGAGAGCCTTTCCCCATCCATCTCCAGTTTTTGTTTAGGGTTGCAGAAGACCTGGGTTGTTATGTGAAATGGCCAGCTGTCTTGACTAGGAAACAGGTATTTTTTAAAGTTCCTGAGGATAGCATGGGTATTTGACTTGGGTAGAGGGGAACAGAGGGGAGATCTTGAGGTTAAAAGAAATCCAGCATTCATAAGAAGGTAGGGTAGTTATACCCAGATTAAGTTGAGTGAACCAAGTCATTCCCAGTGGCTGAGGTGAGTTAGGGGACAAAGAGAAGCTTCCTGCCCCGTGTTGTGGCCTGGCAGGGGTGCAAGCCCCAGGGAAGGGTGACCTATGGGAGAGCAATAGAATCAGCCTTCTGCTCCTGTATCTTGGGCCTGGCTAGTTACTGTCCCAGTAACACATGTCAACACCATAACAAACATAGTAGATACCAATGATGACGCATCTTAAAACTATGTGAACCAGTTGGCAAGTCCTGATGGGTTGCTGAGTGTGGAGGTGGGAGGCGGTTCCTGTTGGTGGGAAGGCCCCAGGCCCCTAGCATAATCTCAGTCACCTAGACTGTTGGCAATAACACATTCATGGTCTCTAATTCTTACCACTACCCCGGAATTCCTGTTTTCCCTGTTGGCTCTCTCCTCCCATTCACCATAGCAACTATTTTGAATCTTCTCGACACTCATCCCACCTCCCACCTGCCTGCCTTCCCTCGCACTCTCAGGCACCCCTGCCTCCCCTTCCTGCCTGCCTCCCTCCCTCCCTCTCTCTTTTTCTTTCTTTCTTCTTTCTCTCTCTCCCTCTCTCTCTTTCCTTCCTCCTTCCCTTCTTCCCTCCCTCCCTCCTTCCTTCCTTCTTTCCTTCGAATCTCCTCTACACTCATCCCACCATCCCACCCACCTGCCTGCCCTCTCACTCTCGGGCAACTCTGCCTCCTATTGCTTTTTCTCTCTCTTTCTTTCCTTTCTTTCTCCAGACTGGGGTGCAGTGGTGCAATCATGGCTTACTGCAGCCTTGACCTCCTGGGCTCAGGTGATCCTCCCTCCTTAGCCTCCCAAGTAGCTGGGACTACTCTGCCTCCTATTTCACATAGAAAAATTTTTTTTAAAATTTTCATTACGTTATGTTGCCCAGGCTGGTCTCAGACTCCTGACCTCAAGTGATCCTCCCACCTCAGCTTCCCAAGTAGCTGAGACTACAGGTGTGAGCCACCACACAAGGCTTCACACAAAATAGATGCCATCTATCTGATTGGGACTATCCTTACCTTCCTTGCTTACCCACAACTGTTGTAGCACTGTCCAATTGAGCTTTCTATACTGCTGGGCAAGTTCTGTATATCTTTGCTGTTCAATATGGTAGCCACTAGCTACATGTAGCTATCAAAATATGACTTGTACAGCTGAAAACGTGAATTTTAAATTTTACTTCGTTTTAATTAATTTAAATTGAAGTAGGTGTGAGTGGCTGCCCTATTAGGCAGCACCAGTTTAGCATAACTAAAAGAAAACATTTGTGGATACCAAGGCACTGGGGTTTCTGCTAACCCTCTGACATCACTAGGCAATAGGCTATTGACAAACCATTACAGGAATTCTGAATTAGGTGATGAGAAGGAATTAAGAGAGAGTTTAAAAAAAAAAAAAAAAAAAGTACATTCAGCAGGGTGCAGTGGCTCACGCCTGTAATCCCAGCACTTTGGGAGGCCGAGGCAAGCGAATCACGAAGTCAGGAGTTCAAGATCAGCCTGGCCAACGTGGTGAAACCTCATCCCTACTAAAAATACCAAAAGAAAAAATTAGCTGGGTGTGGTGGCATACGCCTGTAATCCCAGCTACTCGGGAGGCTGAAGCAGAATCGCTTGAACCCAGGGGGTGGAGGTTGCAGTGAGCAGAGATCATGCCATTACACTCCAGTCCAGATGACAGAGTGAGACTCCATCTCAAAAAAAAAAAAGGAAAAAGAAATTTAAAAAGGCACATTCACTGAGAAATTGCCCTGGAGAAATAGAGAGGAAAAAAATATTGCTTTGGCATGTTGTCTTAGTCGTGGCGGTTATGAAGAAAGAAACCATACAGTGAACCATGGCTGGAACATTGGTTCCATGGTGGTACATGGCTCTGTACACCTGACAGACAAGAAAAGCCTTGTATCATGGCTGCAAAGCCCCACTGATACTGACATGCTCACAGCCTCTGTGGGAGGAAAAATGGAACACCAGCCAGGTAGAGAAGACAGTGAGGTGTCATCATCAGTTGAGTAACTTCAAAGGGCATCCAGTTATCCTTGTTTGCATTTTCTACCTTTCATGCAAAATGTATGCCACACAAACAGATTGGTAACTTGCAGGTCCCATTTTGTGTGGCTGATTTTGCTCACTTTTGGAGACTTTGTTGCTGGGGCAGTCCTGGAGAAATAGCTGAGGGAGCAAACCAGCTGAACACTCATTATTTTCTTAAGCAGTAGATAGCTGCAAAAGCTCCCTTTCGTTTCTTAAACAGTTTCTTTCAGTCTCTTTACCTGTAGGTATGCTTGTTTGCAAGGACTCCAGATGGCCTGGGGGCTTCAGAACCTTTCGCCAGTTATCAGAGGAAGGTAAAGGCTGCTGGAAACCAGAGCAAACCAGAATCAGGGACTCCTTGTTATCTTTAGACCACTAATATGTCATTATAATACTAAAATTCTCATCCATAAAAGAAAATTGCTATTTTCTTTTTTCTTTTTTTTTTTCTTTTTTTGAGACAGTCTCACTCTGTTGCCCAGGCTGGAGTGCAGTGGTGCAATCTTGGCTCACTGCAACCTCCACCTTCTCGGTTCAAGTGATTCTCCTGTCTCAGCCTCCCGAGTAGCTGGGATTACAGGTGTGTGCCACCACACCTGGCTAATCTTTGTAGAAAATTGTCATTTTCTAAACATGCATCCGGTGAAGAGACCTGTTTATGATTTGCACATCTAAAGTTCCTCCCTGCACAAACATACAAACCTCCCCGCCCCATATCTAACTCCTTAAAATTCCCCAGCTACCCCCAATTTGGGGAGGAGGAGGTGTCTCTGGAGCAAGCGGTCATTCCTTCTCCTTCTCTGGCCAAAGAATAAATCCCGCTTGGCTTCCCCCCGCCCACCCCCCAATTTGTGTGTTCTTTCTTTGCAACTAATACAAAGTAGGGAAAGGAGTCAGTTTACCCATGACAGTTCTATCACATTTTAAATAGTTACACACCTTTGTAAATCTGTAAAGTTTGAGTACATTTTCCTGTCTTCTCTGACCTCCCCTGAAAGAGCAGCCAATTGTTTAAAGATCCTATTTGGAGAAATTTCTTTCTCCCCTGATTTAAATGATTTTATTACACACTAAGTTCCTACTCTTTTTTTTTTTTTTTCTTTTTTTCCATTATTGCATACAGAGTCTCACTCTGTGGCCCAGGCTGGAGTACAGTAACATAATCTTGGCTCAATGCAGCCTTGACCTTCCGGGGTGAAGCGATCCTCCCACTTCAGCCTTTCGACAAGCCGGAACTACAGTTGTACACTCCCACAACTGGCTAATTTTTTTTATTTTTTTGTAGAGACAGGGTTTTGCCATGTTGCCCAGGCTGGCCCCGAACTTCTGGGCTCAAGCAATCCTCCTGCCTTGGCCTCCCAAAGTGCTGAGACTATAGGTGTAAGCCACCGCACCCGGCCTGCACCTATCTTTGTGTTTAATACTTGACTCCACTCTGTTCCAATAATGTATCTGTCAGTACCCTTACTAGAGCTGCTTTAATTACACAGCTTTACCATCACTCTTAATATCTCCTTGGCCACCGGCTTACTTGTGAAGTGTTCATCCTGTGGCCTCTGGGGACTCACTGTCTCCCGGCTTTCCTCTCCTCCTTACTCTGCCTCAGCCTGGTCTCCTTGGTGTTGGTGTCCTTCAGGGATCTGTCTTCGGTCCTCCTCCATATCACTGTGCCCTCTCCCTGCAGATCCCTGGCTCCACTCTTGCCCCTTTCGCCCATTTTCCATGGTGCAGCCAGAGTGCTCTGACTGAGCTGCAAATGAGATCATGCTACACCCGTTTATAAACCCATCTATTGTTCTCAGAGTAAATTCCAGACAGACTCCTTAACACCAGCACCTAAGGCTGGGCGAGATTCAGGTGCAAGTAGTTTGTTTCGGAGGTGAGCCAGGAAGAGGAGTGGGGAAGTGAGACCCGGAAGGGAAGGCAGCCAACACAGGAAACATTAAAGAGCAGGTCACCAGGCTGGACGTAGTGGCTCACACCTGTAATCCCGGCACTTTGGGAGGCTGAGGCGAGTGGGTCACCTGAGGTCGGCAGTTCTAGACCAGCCTGGGCAACATAGTGAAACCCCAACTCTACTAAAAATACAAAAATTAGCCGGGAGTGGTGGCACGTGCCTGTAGTCCCTGCTACTCGGGAGGCTGAGGCAAGAGAAGCACTTGAACCCAGGAGGCAGAGGTTGCAGTGAGCCATGATTGCACCACTGCACTCCAGCCTGGGCCACAGAGCAAGCCTCTATCTCAAAAAAATAAATAAAATTAATAAATTAATTAAAGAGCCGGTCACGGCTGTGGGCGTCTGGGCTCAGTCCCCCTCAGGCCCTCTGGAGACGGCCTAGACGTGTATCAGAGTTGTCCCACCTTGGGGAGGAATTGGGGTATTTAACCAGCAGTCCCTCAGCCTTGGAGCCTCTATTTTCTGAGAGTCACATTCTCTCTCTCTCTCTCTCCTCCCTCTCTCTCTCTCCCAATCACCTTCCTTTTTTTCCTCCCTCCCTTCTCCCCTCACGGACGCTGGCCCTTGACGCCATATTTGATTATAGCCCCACCCACAGCTATAGCTGATTGGACCAGGGATAAACAATTAGGCCAATCAGAGTCATTTCTCTTGAGTCCTTGAGTTCTGGAACTGGCTGGGCAGGGGGTCTGGGCTTGCATTTGAACTGCGGAACTTAACTTGGAGAGCATTGCGGAACCACGTGCCCTGGGAGAAACAGAGGAAGTCCGTGTTTAGAGACTCGCAATGGGCACACAGAGAGACAAAGAGAGGCGGGCTTCAGACAAACTGAAAGAGCAATCTCGGCACAGGACGGTTTAGTTTCTGATTCTATTAATAGGTTCTCATAAGGTTGGGCACATTTCCTGCACTGGCAGTCTGTCAGATAAGTGTTTCCTCAAAAAAAAAAAAAAAAAAAGGCCTCCCTTTCCTGCTGAAGAATGTCACTTGATTTTCTGTAAATTGTAAACACACCCACACACTCACACAACTAAGAAATCCACCATTCAATCCCCAATTTTTATTTATTTATTTATTTTTTTTTAGGTAACTTTACATTGTTTCCATCACGAGGTCAGAACATTTCATTGCTGCTGTGAGACTCTCCAGAGTTCTCATTAAAGAGTTCAAGACAGTGGCCGTTCCGTTAGCCTCGATCTCTGAGTGATTAGAGAGCAGAGCCTTCTGGGAGACCCATGATGGACATAGAGTGTGAGTGAGAATTCATTCATCACTGCTATAAGCCATGAGATACTGAGAGTGCTTTGTTATTGCAGCATAACCTGTCCTATCGTAATAGAATCATAAAAAGTGCTGAGAAACAATTTGCTGGACATGGGACCCAGGAAAGTCATGGAAACCAAGGGGAAAAAACTAGTCCAAGATGCAGAAAGTGGCCAGTGATGTTGAATGCATCCAAGAGATCAAGTAAAATAAGGAATAAAATATATCCACCGAGTCTGGTAACTGAGAAGTCTTTGGTAACCTCGTTGAGAACAGAATCCGTGGAGTGGTGGAGGTGGCAGTGGTGAAATAGCGGACAAGGGCTGAAGGAGTGGAGAGGGGAGAGCATGAGGGACCAGTGCAAGAGTGCAGCAGAAAGACAAGAAAACAGGCCGGGTGTAGTGGCTCACGCCTGTAATCCCAACACTTTGGTAGGCTAAGGCAGGCAGATCGCTTGTGACCAGAAGTTCGAGACCAACCTAGCCAACATGGTGAAACCCCATCTCTACTAAAAACACAAAAATTAGCCGAGTGTGGCGGTGCATGGCTGTAATTGCAGATACTCGGGAGGGTGAGGCACAAGAATCGCTTGAACCCAGGAGGCAGGGGTTGCAGTGACCCAAAATCTTGCCATTGCACTACAACCTGAGCAACAGAGGGAGACTCCATCTCAAAAAAAAAAAAAAAAAAAGAAGAAAAGAAAAGAAAAAGAAAAAAGAAGAAAGACAAGAAAATAGATGTCTTTGAGTGGTAGCAAGAGCAACGCTGAAGTGATTTGCCTATTCTGGACATTTCCTATAAATGGAGTCATAAAAGATGTATCCTTTTGTGTCTGGCTTCTTTCACTTAGCGTAATGTTTTCAAGGTTCATCCATATTGGAGCATGGGTCAGTGTTTCATTCCTTTTCATGACTGAATAATATTCGCTTGTATGGACTTTTGTCCTTTTGTGTATCCATCCATCAGTGGATGGACATTTGACTTGTCTGCCTGTTCACTGCTATATCTACTATTCCCGGTGCTCTTGGGAATAAGTGAATGAATGAGTGAATGAAGAGCATAAACAGAGCTGTCCAAGGTCACAGAGCTGGTAAAATGTGAAGCCAGGATTGGAAGCCAGGCCATTAGTCCCCTAGAGCCTATGTTCTAAGCATCAGGCTTTACCTACAAATCCCCTCTTTTTACAGATGAAGATGGCCGTATCACTCAGATTCCCGGCGGGAAAGCAATGGCATACTCAGGTGGGGTAACTAATGATGGAACCATCTACAAAGGTGTGGACAGAGTTAAGAAAAAGCAATAGGGGATAGTGAGCTGCCTGGGGCTGGCAAGAGTGGGGAGCCCTTACCACTCTCAGGACTAAAGGAGGGAGTGGTGCCCAGAAGCCCCGCCTATATGCAACTGAGAAGGGCAGGGCCAGGGAGTCACGTCCATCCTCACTGCTCTCCAGTCTCCTGAACTGGAAGCCAGAGGGTGAGGGGAACCCTGATGCAGTTTGTATGGGTGGGAAAGTACGATAAGTTTAGACTGAAAAACTAAAAATCTACCCAGCCACTTAGCAGGCTGGAATAACAGAAATAGATCAAGCCAGCTGTAAAGACAACAGGGAACAGTATTTCTCTGTAGCTGTCAAGTGATAATACAACCCAGCATCTTTGAGTGACTGCTGAAACATTGTCCTTTAAAATCAGACACCTTCAGAAACTTTGCTGTTTGAAATTACATGACCAAGACTGAAATATTCCAATTTTGCCTGGAGGATCTAAGTCATCTTGACACAGGGAAGCAGCCTCAATTTACAACTCAGGAGCAGAGCTTCAGATAAAGAGTTTCTGGACACATTTGACATTTATCTTAGCTATGTTGCTTCCTAGGAAGCAGGGCCCTGGGTCCTCTTTGCAATCCAGACTTGACGTTGACTGCTTTGTACAAACCTGTTGTGCTCGTAGTCTATCAAAACATGGCTTCATTTAGATTTTATCTAAACTCCACTTTCCTCGGAATCCTATAATAAATCGCTGTCTCCCTTTGTTTGGTGATGTGCTGTAGCTCTTCTGGTGGGTGGTGTCCCTCACTGAATAGGTCAATAAACCTAACTTTGT